CGGCTAATATTTTTTGGTTTTTCGTTCTAACCGAGATGAATGAATGGCCCACAATCCCCACACCAATGGTTTAGTACAATGTAAATTTCAAATGAAGGTACGTATCCGACTATATTCTATAGGCAGACTGGACTGAATACTATAAAGAAAAGTGACAGTGCTAGGTAAAGTCAGTCGTCGAAATGTCGCTTAATAAAACAGATAGAATGAATAAAGAAGTGAGAGAATTTGCTAAAATCATCTTGGATTATTCAAAACTAAAGTATTTTATCATGTTTTTTTTTCTTGCAGAATGAAGTACCCGAGGGTGATATTATTCCCGCGCGGCGTCTTCAAGTGACGCAACTCGATCAAATGCTACAGCAATCGCAAGCGGACATAGTCATTGACGAATAATTTGACTAACAAAAACCAAAAAATCCAACGATAACAAGAAGAATTAGAACAGTGGAACGAAGAATTACAACAAATGGAAAAAAAGTTGGAAAAGATGGCGCAACAATTACGAACACAAACGCGTCGAAATAAAATTCTATTGTGGGGCAGTGAGTTTCATTTGATATTTTATTTTAAAGCCAATAGAAAATCATATTTTTTTCATTTCAGTCCCAAGTGTAGTCCTCGGTATCGCAATTTTTATGAAATATCAATAATTTTTTTTAATAACCCAGGTCGATCATTCCGGCGACTGGATCCGTTGAAATCTGAGCCGGTTCCGGTACAGCTCTTCTCGATTCCGGCACAGTTTTCGCCGATTCCAGCAGGTTCCGTGTCGCCGGAATTGCACAGGAAATATCCGATCAGTTCCTGGCCGTTTCCAGCTCGAAGTTTGCAGGAAACGGTCGGGAAATGACTGGAACCTACGTTTGAACTTCCAGCCGGAATCCAGCGGCAAGGAAATGGCCAGAAAACGAACCTAACCGGCCGGAACCGACCGTGCCATAATAACCTGGGAATAATTTTTACTGTAAATAATTTTTGAATTTATCAAATACATTCAAATTCTTCGAACTTAGAATGCTCTTTCTTCTCGTCTGACAATGCTTCATTTGATAAAACATCGCGGATTTATCCAGTCGAAAAGAAAGGAAAGAACCAATAAGTCTATGGAAATGTTCCATCTAAGGTGCTCCATATAGGAATCTACAAAAAGCAAAACAAAGAAAACCAATACATAGTTTGTTTCATAACAATTGGTTTTTAATATTCAATTGAAAACACTTTCGATATTTTTTACTAGTAATTCATTTCTAACTTCATCAAGAACTGAATGATCATTCGTATCTCTTGATGGTAAAGACATCCCATAAGGTTTGGCGTCGAATTAAACGATTGAAGTGTTTCGTTCAAAGAGAAAAAGAAGGACTTTGTATCTCCGGATCGCAGAAGCTCCTGAAAAAACACGAAGCTTTCGTATCTTAACATATGTCCTAGTGTCTTTTAGAATCTGAGAAACATATCTCATCCTGGATCTGAGATCTTCTTTAAAAGTTTTTCTTATAATGACAAACAAAATAAAAACTTTGATAATCTTTTCCTAAAGATGAATCAGTTGATTCTTGTCAGTCATCTTTCTTATGAATTGACCTGATATGAAGAAATCGCTTATCCACAAGTGTTTATTCTTTTTTTTAATAACCAACACCCTCATTGAGTTGTCGGGAAGACATCTAACTTGAACAAAACAAAGCTATTTTCACAGTCGGGTAACTGTGCATTTTCAATGAGTACATATAATAGACAAGCACTTCTTCAACTACTAATCATTCATCAGGCAAGCAAAGTTCACTTCTAGTTGTTTTCATCCTTCAAATCTACTCGTCTTGTAGGAACACCAAAAACGCCACTATCATCAACTAAATCTGGCTGGTCATGGATGTCATTTGGTGGAAATCAACAGACAAAACAGTAAACGACTTTGCAATGATAGATTTATCTTAAAAAACCTTTTCATTTTTCAGAACAGTTAGTCCACCTAATTCACCATCATCCAGTTTGGATCTCAGCCATATAACATCAAGATTGATGGGTATATTTCTTTTCCATTAAAACATCTCTCGTGCGAATTTACACACCTTTTCGATCTCGTCAAAGTTTATCTTAACTTTTTCGAAATAGTTGAGTACTTGAATGTTTGAAAAAGGAGTTTCTACTGATAAGATATGATATGTGTGTAACAAGAACGGAATTCTAATATTTTCAGTGATGAAAACACCTCGAGAAACGCCATCGAATACATCATCTCGATCAACAGCTGATTTAGCACGTAAATTAGTTGATAAAAACTACCCGAACTCGGATAAATAATATTTACTTGATTGATCTTCTACAGGTGAGCCATCTTACGATAAGAATCTTTTGATTGTAGAGCTTGCATTCGTATTGTTTTGTGTTAAGAGATGTCGCATGCTGGATCATACTAATGCATTCTGTAATGCATCTTGATCTGATTCGTGAACGTTTGGAAAAGGAAGAATGTTGAAATTGTTGATCAGTGATAACAAAGCATACGAAGATTTGTTTTTTCGACTGGCTCGAATCGCGATGTGTAAATTTCAAATCAAGGTACGTATCCGACTAAACTCTATAGTCAGACTGGTGTGACTGAATACTATAAAGAAAACGGACAAAAGAGGTGTATAATGTCAGTCATCCAGGATCGATAAATGTCGCTGAGAGAGTCCGATAGAGTTAATAAAGAAGTAAGACAACTTGTTGAAATCGTCTTTGATTATTCAAAACTGAAATCCTCACGTCGTGTTTCTTTCTTGCAGAACGTACTGCCGGCCGACGACATAGTGAACGAGTTGTGCCAAGAAGTGGCAGAGTTCCAGTCAATCGTTCAGCTGCTTCAACAAGACCATTCAGTCATTGAATAACAACTTGGCTGCAAAGAATCAAGAAATTAAGATGCTCAATGTCGAATTAAGACAAGAAAAAAGTCGAAACAAAGTTTTAAAATGATCAAGTGAGTATCACTTGATATTTCATTTTCAGGTCAAAAGAAAAATCATGGTTTTTTACATTTCAGTTCCAACTGCACTCATGGTCGCTATCGTCATCTTTGTTAAGTGTAAATGGTTTTTTCAATGATAACCCAAGTTATTATGGCACGGTCGGTTCCGGCCGGAAGTTCAAACGTAGGTTCCAGTCATTTCCCGACCGTTTCCTGCAAACTTCGAGCTGGAAACGGTCAGGAACTGATCGGATATTTCCTGTGCAATTCCGGCCGGAATCCGGCGGCAAGGAACCTGCCGGAACTTGCTGGAATCGGCGAAAACTGTGCCGGAACCGGCTCAGATTTCAACGGATCCAGTCGCCGAAATGATCGACCTGGGAATTTTTACATTAATAATTTTTTTGTGGATAATTTTTCAATTGGTTAAATACATCAAAATTCGTTCCACTTAAAATGTTCTTTCTTCTCATTTGCCATCAACTTTATTTGATAAAACATCGTGCATTTATCCAGTCGAAAAAGAAGGAAAAAACCAATGAGTCTATGGAAATGTTTCATCTGAGAGGGTCCATCACCTGGACAGATGATCTATAGAGGAATATACCAAAAGCGAAAGAAAGAAAAATAGTACATAGTTCGTTTCATAATGATTGGTTTTTTATATTCGACTGAAAACGCTTTCGTTATTTTTGACCAGTAATTCATTTCTAACTTCATCAAGAACCGAAAGATCATTCGGATCTCCGGATCCTAGGAGCTTCTGTGCAATCATATAGGTCCTGACTAGTGGTTGAATAAAAAAGCAAACTGTCATATATCCCTTTGAGGACCGGTGACGTTATAAAACCCAGGTCAACGAATCCGATTGGATTCCTGGAAACGGAATTACATTCGAATCTGACTAGAAAAATCCAGTCGGTTATTGCAAATTTTATGAGCCATCTTTTTAGCTATATTCTATGATGCTCCTTAGAAAATCCGAAAAATTCATGTTTTGGGATCCGAGTACGGGATTGATCGACCTGGGTTGGAAGAACTTTCAGTCAATAATGTTCTCAGGCGTCTTTCCAGACTCAGTTTTTGATCCTGAATCCAAAAAAAAACATTTTCAAGAAGTTTTAAGAACGAGAACATAGTGGTTTTTGCATTTTTTATCCAAAAGCCTCGCTTTTGAGAAAACTCGAGTTTTTCAAGAATTTTCCGATTTTTAAATATAAAACAGCTTCTCAAAGGGATAAAAAGTAGTCCATCGTGATCAATAGCTCACGCTCTATCAAACCATGCGCAAAAAAGATAAAAATAAATTTTACTCGATTTTAGCATTGCGTACACCTTAATGAGCCATATTCACATTTTGCCTGTCTTGGCCACATCACAGCTAAATTATGACCAAAAACCAATGGTTCATTGAACTGTTTCATTCTCATTAGAAACTTTTATAAGGCTACTCTATTCCTATCTATGTCCCCTCTTCATCTTAATTTATCTTTTTAATATTTCTCTGTCTCTTCTCTCTGCTCTTCCATCTTTTCTTTTGATGACGCTCTCTTTAATTGGATTGCAATTGACAGAGACAGAAAAGATTAAAAGAAAAGACAGGAGAGGAGAAAAGTTATGTACGGTGTGACTGTTGAACGAGTCGTATATGGATTAAGTTGAAAAAAAAAATGAAATGGTTGATATTTTTTACCACGGTCCCAGATATTTTGTGGCCAAAAAAATAGCAATTTGTGAATATGGCTCATTGTACCACAAATTGAAAATAATTTATGGAGATATGCTAGTAATTATCCGAACCAACGATAACAACACAAGCCGATTTCTACGTTCATTTTCTTTTACAGAGAAATAATCATCGTATCATCAATACCTCATTCACAGTTGTCTTCGCAGTATCTCTGATGTCGTCCTGTGATTTTCATTCGTTAGCTCATCGTTTTACACTTGAAAGAAGAAGAAAAAACAACTTCGCATCCAATGTCGAATGGTGTTTTGCCGAACATCTTGAATCTTTTTCTCATCGATTGAAATTGGAACATTTACTACACTCCGACAAAGACTTTAGTTTCATTTTAAAACGATTAAAGTCATCGAGACAAATAATTGACAATGTAATTCGAAGAATGATCACCCTTCTGATTGAATCGGACCGCAACCGATTTTTATATCTATGGAGAGAAGATCTAATAACATTTTCAGTCAAATTAGGCGAAAGATATTTGATCAACTGTGTATTTGATAAGATTTTCTTCAGACAAAGAATTTTAAGATAAGATTCTCATAGAATGAGACAAAATCTTAACCTTTACACCTTGTTTTATCTATAATGTATACATAAAACGTGTCTCTTAACGAAGAAAAAAAATCTCTCGATCTTTTTTCTCTTGCACTATAAAAAAAGGAAATGTTCGCCTTTTTGCTTTTATATTGAAAACTTTTGAGTGATAAAACAAATTTGTTTCTCTTACACTTCGATGCAACGAATGGATACTCAACCGAGACCAACAGAACCTGTTCAAACCTATACTAAGCCACCGTTTACACGTAGTATTTCAATGAGTAAATATGAGACAAGCACTTCTTCAACTACTAATCATTCACCAGGTAAGCAAAATCCACTTCCAATTGTTTTTATCCGTCAAATCTGCTCGTCTTGTAGGAACACCAAAAACGACACTATCATCAACTAAATCCGGCTGGTCATGGATGTCATTCGGTGGAAATCACCAGGCAAAACAGTAAACGACTTTGCAATGATAGATTTATCTTAAAAAACCTTTTCATTTTTCAGAACAGTTAGTCCACCTAATTCACCATCATCCAGTTTGGATCTCAGCCATATAACATCAAGATTGATGGGTATGTTTCTTTTCCACTAAAATATCTCTTGCGTAAATTTACACACCTTTTGGATCTCACGAGAGTTTATCTTAACTTGTTTGAAATAATTGAGTACCTGAATGTTTGAAAAAGAACTTTTTACTGATAAGATATGATATGCGTGTAACTAGAGTTGAATTTCATTATTTTTAGTCATGAAAACACCTCAAGAAACGCCATCGAATACATCATCTCGATCAACAGCTGATTTAGCACGTGAATTGCTGGATAAAGATCATCCGGATTCGTATATGTTATTTTCTCTTGATCAGTCTTCGACCAATGAGCTACCTTACCAGAAGGAGTTTTTCCATAATCAAGTTTGTAGATGCGTTTTGAAAAAGAAATAAATTTAGTAGGGTTGTTAGGTTCTCGATTTTCCATTGTTTGATGAAAAGCAACAACAACCACCAACTTTACTTATTAATTTATGGTTTTGTCAAAAAGTTACATCTTATCTCTTGGAATCTCCATCACATGTCGCTGTACTTCATTGTCATGTAAGTTTATCTTGATTTTCTCTCTTGAATAAACTTAACTCTTCTTTTTCGCCAGGATGGAAAAAATCAATTAGCATTCGCCGCATGTCTACTACTTGCTTATCATAAATTATATCGAAAATGTGAACAAATCATTCAGTTCTATACATACTATCGTTCAATTCCACCAACGTTCACCATGTCACAAAAAAGGTTTGTCAAATCTCTTATTTAATCCAGTTCATCATTTATCTTGTCAGATATATTCAATATCTTTGTGACTTATCACATGGAACAATCGAAAGTCCACATTTCAATGAATTAGTTCTTCATTCGATCAACTTGACACCGATTCCACTTGTCAATCGAGCAAAGTTCGTGATTTTTCTGCTTTGTAGTGGCTACTGACTCGTGTGTTTCATCGTTTAGAACGTCTTGCCGTCCATTCGTTGATATTTACAATCAAGAACAGAAGAAAATCTTTTCCACGCACCAAGAAACATCGAAACTTCGGTGAGAGATTCTTTAATCTCCTCTGTAAAACTGTTTTTGATTTTAAACAGAGTTTATACGTCATCGGAATCAATTTGTACCATTCCAGTTGATCTTCACTTTAGTGGTGATTTAACAATTCATATAACACATGCATGTTTGAATAATTCTCGTCGAACTCATGTAAATTGTCTCATTCGGAAATCGAAATCTTGTGAAAATTGTGATTTAGGAAGGCGGAGTTCGTATTTGTGAATTAACGATCAATTCGAATTTCAGTACATTTAACGATCCGGAATTATCTTATTTACGAAGTGAATTGGATGAAGTTGATCCAAATGAAAAAAATCCGATCAATTATCGGGTCTCACTTCATATTACAAATCATCAAAAGGTCACTGATAATCAACAGGATCCATTTTTGAAACAGTTGGAAAGTACATTGGAACATCCGTTGGCTTTATTTCGCGATGAAAATGAAATGAAACAAAAAATGACCGACATAGGTGAGACAAAAACCAATATACGCATCTGTTCACCATTTGTTTTATTAGAAAAAAAAGAAAATTTGGAAGCAAACCATCCACCAGTTGTTCATCGACCACCAAAACATAATGAACCAATATCTCCTGGTGCGACTAATTCCTCTTTACGACCAGGTAACCGAATTTCTGGTCCACAATCTCCCACACCAACTTCTCCATCCTCGTCATTCGTTAATCCAATGATGGGACATATGAAAGTGAGCCAACGTCAATCTACAATTCAATCTTCATCAGCTCAAGAAAAAGTCACAGATCCCAACGTTGATATTCTCGGTCTTGGTGAAGAAATTACCTCTATTCAGCATAGTCTCGAAAGATCCATGTCATCTGATACTCAACAAGATCTTCTATCAAGTATCGATTCTCACGCCGATTCAACCGATGGAGATGTTCAATCAACTAGACCTCCTCTGCAAAGATTTTTATCCCAAACAGGATCTTTACCAACACCTATGAAAGCAACAACAATTTCCAAGCCAAAACAAGAAACACCAGGTAAAAAATTTCTCGACAGATGCCGCCCGTTTTTTATCTATTTGTAAGTTATCCAATTCATCGCTTTTCTTCTCTCTTCTATCGTTCAATATATATGATGTTAAGGATACTATGTTACCTGTCCCACTACGGTGGGACATATAATAAAATTGGAACGATACAGAGAAGATTAGCATGGCCCCTGCGCAAGGATGACACGCAAAATCGTGAAGCGTTCCATATTTTTTTTCTCTTCTAGCTTCCTCTCAACAATCCAAGGGTCCCAATTATGATCTTTTTCGAACAGAAGAAAATCGTCCATCTACTCAAACTTTACCAAGTAAACGAAACTATACTCGTCTCTGATGTTCACGAAAAGAATTCTTTTTAGAAACAAAATCATCTTCATCGAGCGCTCCGAAAAGCAAATCTGAATTTTATACCAATCACTTTCAAGGTTTAGATGGTTTAAATCGTGACGATCCACCACCTCAACCACAACAGCCATCATCAACTCCTATTGGTGACATTCAAAAACAAACGTTAGCAAAACATCTCGATCCAACTGTTCTCAAAGTAACACATAGTTTAATAACGAAGAACAATAGATTCTATTCGTATTCACTAGGTTCGACATTGGACCGAAGGCAAAAAAGGAAACATTCGAGCATTATTATGTTCTTTGTCGAAAGTCACATGGCCCGAATGCAAATGGAGTGGATGCCAAATGAACGAACTGTTAACACCTGCACAAGTGAAGAAAGTGTATCGAAAAGCTGTCCTTCATATTCATCCTGATAAGGTAATTGATGTGTCTTCTGACGTTTTCTAACTTTTCAAATGTGATTTTTGTTAAGCTCTGTGATGATCCAAATCAGCCGTTGGCAAAACTTATTTTTGTTGAATTGAATGAAGCTTGGTCACAATTCGAGAAAGAATGCGACTAACAATAAATTTGTTTTTTATCAGTGATTTTAATCTTCTTTTCAAAACGAAAAAATACAGACAAAGGAAAAAGATATTTTTCGTATTTTACCTAATAACCTTTTCACATCATGTAAATAAAATTCAAATTGTTATTTCATAATTCGCATTATCAGAAAATATCTCTTGCTTCTTACTATGAATTAACTCAAGAAAATATTGAGCGTCAATCACGAAGTATTTATTACGATTTTCTACCTGCAATTCATGTTCAATTAGCATAAGTGTTGTCAAGATTTTGCCATAGATAACTGCTCCTACAGAACAAAACCACTTTAAACGAAGAGTGAAGTTAATTAACCAGTTGACAATTTCTAAATTCTCTTCAAACTTCAATCGAGAGTACTAATGTATTTTGTTTGTATCTGAAGAAAATGACTCACTCTTTCCGAAACCTCGCATCATATTTGTAACTATTGTAAAAACTGATTCACTGACATGCGACAATGCACTATATATATCTACTCATAATACTCCAGTACGAGCAAACCGGTGGTGTAATTCCTGTACCAGGGATCTGATGGAACGTATTTGACTTGGGTGGCGCCGTCCATGCAGACAAACGACATTAAGCTTTTCTCGCTTGAAATTCATGTGCAATTGTTGAATGGAATGAATACGCAATTCGTTGCGAAATTACACAACGACTAGTTGTAGATGTCGTTCATTTCTAATCATCACTAGATTATTCAATTCATCGCTTTTCTTCTCTCTTCTATCGTTCAATATATATGATGTTAAGGATACTATGTTACCTGTCCCACTACGGTGGGACATATAATAAAATTGGAACGATACAGAGAAGATTAGCATGGCCCCTGCGCAAGGATGACACGCAAAAT